ATGAAGATTTTCCTAACTTGAGTAGATACAAAAATGGAAATATCCTTAAGTGGGAAAATATCATCTAAATGTTCACTGCTCTTTCATGGAAATCAGTCATCTAACCCTAGCCGGTTTGGCTCAATGGATAGAGTGTCAACCTGCGGACTGAAGGGTCCGGGGCACATACCTGGGTTGTGGGCTCAATCCCCAGTGTGGGGCATGCAGGAGTCAGCCCATCAATGATTCTCTCTCATCATTGATGTTTCTATCTCTCTCTCTCCCTCTCCCTTCCTCTCTGAAATCAATAAAAAATATTTTTTAAAAAGAAATCAATTATCTATAACTTGTAAGAGCTCTTATTAATAGAGAAGCTAGTATATAATCAAATTATAAATTAAACATATTGAATGTCCTTGATTCTGAATGTGTTGTAATGTACCCCACGAATCACAGAAGGACACCTCAAGTAGTCGAATTAAAGAGTCACATTTATTGTAATCCGGGACTACGAGGGGGCATTTCGCTCTCCCAAATCTCGCAGTGCCCTCCCCATCCCCAACATCAGATTTATATAGGCAAAGATCACAAAGGTATTGATTACATTCGAGGGATTGGGATGAGGACCCTGGTTTGCACAAAGCAGTTACAGAAGCGAGATTGAGCCGATTAGTTATCTACAAAGATTAATTAGTTTTGGGTCTTCGGACCACTGAGTTGACAGAAACACATTATCTAGAGCCCTCAGGTCTTGGGACCACTGAGTTGACAGGGACACATTATCTGGAACCCTCGGGTCTTGGGATAATTGTGCTGTACTGGTTCCCAGGTACAGAGGAATGTGCTTTCTAAAACCAGTATGACCACAACCAATGGGGTATTCACATTACAATCAATAAGGCATTCAATCGAATGGGATGATTTATATAATTCAGAAGATCAAAGTAACTTTTCTATTGTCAAACAAAGCAAATAAGTACAGAAGCCAAACAGCAGGGTTAAAGTTAAACTATAGTTTCTACCTGAGATGATTGCTACCATACTTCAAATGTAAGGCAGATTAAAATTTCTGAAGAACCATTGGAAAAATGCCTCCATCCACATTAAAAACTGATGGTTTTGTTTATTTCCTAAAGATTTCATACAGCTTTGCTATAGCAGTATACTC